TGGACACAGGTGTTAATGGCTTCATCCACTAGCGATTGGAGGTTTGCTGGCAAAGCCTGCCGAAGGTTTCCCCTCCTTGTTCTCCATGAATGGCCTATTTGGCAAATTCCCTTACCTTCTGCCTAATATCGTCTGCTCCGGATTACTTCTCTGCAGCATCATCTCCAGCTGGATCTTACTCGAGGAGACTCACCCTGATATGCAACCGTGCAGTAGGCCAGGTGACCTGGATCATCCTTCCGTGGAGCGTCCTCTACTTGCAACTGCAGGAGCTACCGCCAACGCAGGCGCAGATTTACGTGCAGAGTCCTACGGTACTTTCAACCAAGTCCATCTCCATGAAGATGAAGATTGGACAGTGTATGCCGATGGTTCGAAGCCTGAATCCACTCCGCAAAAGCCGACTATTTTCACATGGCGAGTGACCATGCTTATCATCGCCTTGGCAATCTTCACTTACCATTCCATGACGTATGACCATCTGTTGCCCATTTTCTTGCAAGATAAGAATGCCAGCAGCATTGCCATGTCGTCAAATTCGGCGTTCCGTTTTCCGGGCGGGGTCGGCCTCTCAACTCGAACCGTTGGATTGATCATGTCAAGTGATGGCATAATTGCACTTGTCATCCAGAGCCTTATCTTCCCTTTCCTGGCTCAGCGCCTGGGTGTCTGGAGGCTCTTTGTTGTCGTCACCATTCTTCATCCGCTAGCCTATTTTATCGTACCCTTCCTTATCTTCGTTCCTAGCCAACATGTGATCTTCGGCATCTACACCTGCTTGGTTGTCCGCAACATCCTCTCGATCATCGATTACCCCGTCCTTCTGATTCTCATCAAACAGGCCAGCCCCTCCGATTCCGTTCTCGGCAAGATCAATGGACTCGCGGCCTCGGCCGGCGCCTTCTCACGCACGATGGCTCCACCGATTGCAGGTTTCTTGTATAGTACGGGTTCCAAGATCGATTTTACGGCCCTGGCCTGGTGGGGAAGCACTTTTGTCGCAGTCATCGGCGTTGTGCAGCTCTTCTTCATTGAACAAAAGAAACATGCCTCTATCACGGTCCAGCCAGCTGCGCATTGCCACTACGCGTCTCATGCTACGCCAGTCAAAGATGAGACCGTCCATATCATTGTGACAGACGTTGATGGCGATGGGACTGGCCATGTATAGGAGGACCTCTATCTGAAGGCAACGGTAGGACTCGTTCATGAGACTTATCTGCATGAGAGCTATGCGTTCTATCTTGCATACTATGATACCATGATATTGTTATTATCGAAAATGATTCCCTGTGCTGCATTCTAGCGCTCAAAAGGTGTCCCGGAGTTTATCACTGTATATAGAACGAATCAATACCAAATCATATACTACACATAAACTTGATCAAGCCTACACAGTCGTTTGGCATTTGCGTACATCTGGGGTCCTGTAGTCGACTGTCGATGATGCAGACAAAGGCGGTAGGACGAGTTTGGCTGCCCTCATTGCAGGGCGGTGAGAAATCCAGGGTTTTTGCCGGTTACCACCGCCGCACTAACGCCACGCTAGCCCCCATTAGGGTTAGTTTTGTTTACCGCGATATCCTGGCAACGGCCCGAAAATAATCATCATCATAATAAACGCCGCCTCGAACCCCATCACAAACTCCACATTGTTGTCCCTCCACACGAACTCTGAGACTGCTCCATACCCTTCCTCATCGACTGGTGTCGGGACGCTAGTCCACACTATCGAGATTTCCAATCTCGTCTCCTTCAAGAGAGATACTCTACCCACCGTCATCATGTCTACCCCGTTATCCTCCTTGACACCCTCGCGCCAGAACTCCCGAGCCTTCTCGCCGAGCTATGGCAAACCTGCTTTCGCTGTAGAGGAGGACGATATGGATGCGCCCGAGGATCCCTTATCGAGCCCCTTCAAAGTGTCTACAGAAGTCCAAGAAGAAGATCCTATCCCTGAGCACGATGTCTACGAATCGCACGACGACCAGGGTATGGATAACGAGGATATTGAATCAGTGATGCCAACACCTAGCTCGCCGTTCCAGTTTAATGCAAGGGAAGAGACTGTGGACTTTCAGAGACTGCGGGCCCTCAATCGGCACATGTCTTCAGGGGGCATCGGTGACCACTCCATGACGCCTAGAAAGCGCTCCTACGAGCAAGTCCCTGACGGTACCGATGGTGATGAGACCCCAAATGATAGATACAAGAAGGGTACTGGACCGAGGAGCTCTCCAGATATCAATGTCTACGCTGATGAGGACGTTGAATTCGGTGCTGATCACGACCTGGTAGAAGGTGCTGGCCAGGAAGTTGTGAATAGCATGGTGGAGGAAAATAACAACGAAGGCATGAGCACTGTCCTCCATGAAAATGACAAGGACAGCTCCCAAGAAATGGATGAACACCTTGACTTGCAGGAAGCAGACGACGCTATGACGGATGACTCCAACGAATCTATGGATGAGACACGCCTCAGCACATTCTCCGCTATTCCGGATATGACCACTTTCGCACAACTTCGAAATGATTCGCCTTACAAGATATCACGACCTCATCCGGGTGATGCGGAACTGGCCAGTCCTTCCCCCGCAAGGAGGTCGCCTCGACGAAGCATTCTCAACAATATGGGAACCCCTCTTGCATCCCCTGCACCACGGAAGCGAGAATCAAGAAGCATACATGATACGCCTAATCTGCTTGATTTGACCGACCAGCCAAGCATTTACCCCCGTCAGCGTTATAGTGTGCAGAATGAGCGCTACTCTCCTTCCCGTCGATCTCCCTTGAGGACCGCCAGAGACTCCGTCAGATCACCTGCAAAGGCTTCCCTTCTGGACTTTGACATCCCTTCTGTGCCTACTCCTCGGTCAATTCCAACAGTCACCCCCCGGGAGCTTGAGACTTTAAAATCCGGCTTCCTCTCCGAAATCTCTTCCCTCAAGGCCACTCTCAGCGGAAAGGAGGCAGAGGTTGCCAGTCTCAAGCAGGCAGTTGCAGACGCAGAACGCCGCGTGGGAGAGGCTCTAGAAGAAGTCCGTAACGAAGTTGCGCGCAAGGAATCTCTGGAATTTGAGCAAGCTGAATGGCAGCGAAGGGGCCAAGAAATGGAAGCTATCCTTAGAGAAGTGAGAGCTGAAATTGTCGAGGGTGAGCAAGAGAAAGAACGATTGGCAAGGAAGGTGGATGAGGCAGAGAAGTCTAGGGAGCAGTTGGAGGGCCGAGTGGTCGAACTGGAGAGTCAGTTGGCTTCGGCTCTCCAGTCTGCCTCCGCTGGGAACACAGCCCCTGAGAATACGTCTCACACCAAGACGTCCGAAGAGACTGCCAAAGAAGTGCAAGACGCCGTGGAGAAGGTTGCACGTGAGCTTCATACGCTTTATAAGAGCAAGCACGAAACCAAGGTCGCTGCATTGAAAAAGAGTTACGAAGCTCGCTGGGAAAAGCGCGTGCGTGAAGCCGAGAATAAGCTGACTGCTGCCAACAAAGAGAATGAGCGACTGAGAATAGAGCGAGATGCCGCCGTGTCAGAGCCCCCACAAGTCGACCCTAGTCTGTTCGCACAGGAGCGGGAGGAGCACGAAGCAGAGAAGCGTGTGATGGAGGCACAGATCAAGGGATTACAGCAGGAAATGGCGGCACTGAAACAAGACAACGAGCGCCTGCACGCGGAGCTGAAGCAGGAGCGAGCAGAGAAAGGCGAATTGGTGGCAGCTGTGGATGAATGGTTGGCAATCCAGCAGGACCAGCCCCCAGCACAGAGTGCCCCACAACCTTTGACCACCAGAGAGCTTGAGTCGCCAGAGCCAGTGTTTGCTGCCCCGGAACCTCCCACTGAGAGCTTCCAGAGGAGCGTTAGCCGTGGCAGCACCTCAAGTGGCATTCGTCCTCCAAGTGCCACCTCCAGCAATGGCGAGAAGAGAATCCCTAAGATCGGAGCAGTGGGCAACAGACATGCTCGAGGCAACAGCGGCAGTAAGTCCGGGATCGCCCTTCCCACACCCGGGCGCAGTGGTATCATGGGATCCATTGAACGAATGGGCCGTGGCGGTGCTTAAAGCTTGCACACTCTTTCGGCTTGACGATAATGTTTTCTTTCTTTTATCTCCTTGCTTTTGACCCCCTCTTTGTGAATTTCTGCAATTTCCTCGATATTGGCTGGATTATTTGCTTATTGTATATTGGTATGGTTGTTGGCTGGGCACATACTATTCCTGGTTGAGATATCCCCGAGACGGCGTTTTTGGCTGAATGCCATGGAACCCACGGACTGGTTTTGATCAATGAATGACGGATTTATCGATGTAACGTGTTTATGCTTTTATGATAGCCCTTGAAATTTCTATTACAGTACGCTCCTGAGAAGTAATTGTCGACACATGCATTATCCAACGGCCGCCTTGATGTGGATACTACACCTGGCCGGACTTTAGGACTCTATTCCATGAGATAGAATTAGCCCCATACATTATTTAAATTTGGCAGAAAACTATAGAAATAATGTCACGTACTCAAATCTACTTCCAAGACTGTCATCCTTCCAGGATACCTCCAAAACCATTTTCCACATCCAATCCTGGGTCTATTTTAAGGTGCCTTTCAGGATACCTTCTAGAACACCCTCCTAATGCCAGCTCCATGGGCACTAACGGCCCTCATACTAAGAATGAGGTCCTAAAGTAAGATAGTAAAGGACTACAGCAATGGAAACTGATAGAATCGGAACAACACTGGTCTCCGACTGGTACTTGGATAAGATGTTTTTGTAAAAGTCAGTCACATGATAGGGCTAGATCTGTCTATCCTAGCTATAGAGAGTTACTGTATAGTGATGCACAAATTCCAAATAACCATTGCGTTAAGGGGGGGGAAGAAAGAGGCAGTGTAATGTGGAGCTCTAATAATGGAGGAAAAAAAAAATTTTTAGAATAAATAAAAGAATAAAAATTCTCTAAGACTAGTGAGCATTTGTAGTCTTATAACCGTTCATCACCCCTTTAAGACTGGAGGGCATGGATACCATTCATAATACCTTGGGGGGAGCCACCTCGGAAGGTGAAGTCATTGAGATGTGCACCGTCTTTGAAGAAGAAGAAAGTAGGAAATACAGCAACACCCCAATCGTCAGCGAGTTGGTCAAGGTCGTCAACATCTACATCGTAGAATTCAATGGACCGGTACTCGTCGCTGAGCTTTTCGAAGGCAGGGCGAATATTAATGCAAGGACCGGCCCATGTAGCGAAGAACAGGACTGCGACTTTCTTCTTAGAGTTGATGGCCTTCTCGGTGAATTTAGCAGGCCCAAAAATAATGGAGTTAATATTTTGATTCCTGAAAGACAGTAGTATAGGGAGGTTAACGCAAAAGAATCAGGAAAACATACGTCTTGATAGCATGGACAACCATTTTGGCAGAATTTGATCAGGAAATATTTTTAAGAAATTGGTAGAAGTAGATTTGAAACACGAAGAAGGGGGAAAGAAAAGAGGATGAGAGAGAAAGATGTCTAGATGATTTTGAAAGCTGACGAAGAACAAAGAGAGGGGGAATATGGGATTTAAATCAACTTCCGGTCAACGAGGGGCACAATCGCAATGATACCCACCTCTGGTTAGTCCACAAAGCACATTGGTAGGTAGGAGTATACAGTATCGTAACCATACTATGGACGATCTGCGCAAGTACGTGAGTCATGCACTACCACCACTGCGGGACATAGATCTACTAGTCGTCTATAGGATAGATAGGCGGAAAAAGAATCCAGATCTAGTGTTCGGCAGTGGATCTGATACTGTTACTAAACGTCTTGACTAGTGATCCCTTTATATGGAGATCTATGTGGATTATAGGATGTTTCAAGATAGGATACTAAATTAGAGACTACTGTATAACAGATAACTACTTAGGCAGTCATAGACAAAAAGGGGGAAAGAATCCTAGGTGACTGATCTCGATGGGACTATGGCGTAGTAATTTCGATCGAGCCGGTGGTGGGGGGAGAGATGGGGCATCTAAAAATACTGTATATAGCTCTACAGTCGATCTCGATGGTGTGACAATTTTTCAATAGTGAAAAATTGGTGCCATCTAAGCAGAATCCTAAGCATGACGTCAAACAATCAAGCACACAAATGACAGTAGTGCCTCAGATAGCACTTGTCTCGAGGCAGCTGTACTACTCTTCCTCTGTTATACTGTGGTGAACAAGTTTGGCTTCCACAGGTTTCCTCTCTTTTTGCCTTACACGGCACTAGTCTACAATAGGTTTAGACAAATATGTGTGTATGCGTATTTTATTCCTCCCAATGGACAAGACCATACCAGTATCGATATAAGTGATCAACTTTATATACACAAACCAAAAAAATACACACAACTTCGAGAAAGTTTGTTGGAGGCTAGTGTAGTAGTCAACTTAAGGCGACTTACTAGCCCAGGCCCAAGTATATTACCTGAAAGGAGCGGGCTGCTTGGTATAATCCCCAGGTAGTTGCACAAGTCTAGATGCCAGAGCAGAGAAAGATGTAGCAGTATTGCCTGTACTGCAAGAATTCAAGAGATACCCTGAAGGCCGGTGAAAGTGGCCATGAGAGGATTCCTAGGAAGTGTAGTCCTTTGCGCTGGGAGATAGCATAGCCTCCTTCCATGGGCCTACCAAGAACCGCTTTACGATATAGCGGTGTTTTGACATAAGGATAGATGTTTCTGTTGATGTATATTATAGCAAAAAAAGATAACTTATATTATATAGTACAACCGGGGAATTAGTTGAACGTTATACCAAAATTCACTTGGATAAAATTATAATTTTAAAATAAATCATATTTAATGCTTTACTACTATTATATGAATTTTTCTAGGATATGTTTGTACACAACTGCTCTATAGCATATATTTCGATGACTGAACGAATAGTTTTCTGCTCCAGTAGCTCTGTCCCGCACATTTTTCTTATACTTTTGCTTTGCGTTCATTCAGTCACTGTCTTCCGCTGTGCATGGATCATAGGGAGATTATCAAGAGACATAGACCCAATAGGAGAGAGTCATGTTTCGAGTTACTTAAGATTTTCAGCGCGCCAGTAGCGTGGACTGCAAACGAGTCTTGCAGATGAATCCTGAACATTGATATAAACATCGATCTCAAATATTGGATAGAGGTAAAGATATCAAGAAGAATCTAGACTTATATTTTAGAGAACATCTATGACATCTTCTACCCATTATCGGTACCCAACTCTCCATATGCTGAGATTAAACCTACTTCTTGTGTTAAATGCCTTGATTCTGGTATACTAGAGAAGGTCTAAGCACATAACAGAATATTGAATTATCCGGTATTTCATCCTGAAACTTGAAACCTTGGATATATATATATATATACATACACAATAACTTAGTGTACAAAGTATCCCGGAAATATCGAATTTATTTATACTGACTTGACTCGATTATAAAATTCGGTATTTTAAGAAACTGCATGAGTCAGAGCACATACACAGCCTTCTCCAATAAGTGGCTCAATAAGATCCAGCTTCAATAAAGTGATTAGGTGAGGATGATTAGGTGGGGGCACCTGCCTTGAATTCTTAACTCAGATCTGACAATATATTCCTATACCGAAGGTGAAGGAGCATTACAAGTAAATGGTAGTAATAGCCACAAACAAACAGGGTAGAAGAAGTTGGACACTCTGTCAAACATAGTCAAGTATTATCTCATTAGTAGCAAAGATTACCCATACGCTTTAAGCATGTTCACATCCACAATATGCGATTCCTGTTCAGTTTATAATTGAATTTGAGACTTAGGCATTGACCTCTTCTACATCAGTATCTGTACCTTATTTGAACAGGATAGAATGTAAATTAGGTACTTACACCATTTACAATAATTTCTAGGTCTTTACTGAGCCTAGATACCATCTCATACATCAGGATAAAAAGATCACCACTTCCACAATAACTCCAGCAAGCTCTTACGCACAATACCTGAGCATTAGCAACCATTCTTTCCCCAACACACATCCAACCGTATAATCGTACAAAATTCAGAACATCTCACCAGAGCTTAAGATCTATTTCCACTGCACTGGATCAACATCAATCTGTTGCCAGTATTTGCCCAGAAATCAGCCAATGTTTTCTTTTCTTTTCTTTTCTTTTTTTTTTTTTCTTCTTTGTTGACGTAGCTTGAAAGTCACGGAGCTTATCTACATATACCAACACATTCGAGATTTATCAAGCCTTTCCTGGGCGCTATTATCGTACTGTTTCTGTTGAATCTGACAAACGTCGAAGCTCTCATCCTGGGCTAGATCATGTTCTGGGGCAGATGACTTTCATTTATGAGAGTGCCCTCGCATAATTTGCTTTCATTATCAAGGTCCTCAATTACAACTTCCAAGTCTCTACTGGAGTCGCTATTTAATCTCTAGTCTGCAGAGGTTCTGCTCAAACCAAAATTAGCATCACTGATACATCGTGTCGTCAGACCCAACTGGTTTGGAGCGACGCACTATGGCCGAAAGTCCACAGGAGCAACGGACAAGAAAAAGATAACAGAAAGTCGGAAGTGTAAAGGGAGTAAGTGAGTATTACGGCAACTTGTTGCTTGAGCACGGAGGCTTGTAAAGGTGACACTGCGCGGGGTGTTAGAGAAGAAATTGTAGATAAGCGTACAATGCTATGGAGAACTCGAAAGAAAGTGAAGAATATGAGAAGGACATGAGAGATCTGACTGTTGGTAAGTTCCAAGAACTGCCTCTATGACCTTCCTCGAGCTATCTAGTTACCTTTTCCTCTGGCATCGAATATATGTCCTAATAAAATGTTTCCCCACTGTAGTCTTTGGTGGCTGTAGGACTCTAGTTCACTATATCTTATGCATAGTCGTCTGATGAAGGGCCAGCCTTCAACTATCTAATATGTATATGTGTATATGTATATGGGTTACTAATCAGGGTGATTATTATAGCACCAGACAATGCTACATACACACACGCGCGTATATATATTTAAATATATGGATTGATACATATTTGTAAACAGTCGGACATTCCATGAGCTTACATAGGGAAGCTGGAAGTCACCCATCAGTAAAGAGCGCTAGTTCAACCCTGGAGCATATTTACATATAGTTCAATATTACCACTGTTCAATAACACGTCACGACAGTAAGCTCTTCATTTCCTGGCATGCTGAAGGTAAATATTATATACAGTGTATGTGTCTTCGAAAAGTTTAATCATAAGCACAAGTACTGAGTAGTGGACAAGGCTGACGATGAATGGATAGATCAGCGAATTCATACTTGATCTTCTCGAAATCACCCTTCTCTTGCTATATCTAGTCTTCAATGGCCTTGTCTCCTTCGCGTACAGAAAGACACTAGCAGAAATATAGGTATGTACTAATACTATGCGGGTATGAGTACTTGGATGTGCTCTTGGTTGTTAGGGTGAGGGGTTCAAGTTCCTAGAATCATCGATGCTATGCCACGTTGAGTTTACTCTATACGCCAAGCGTCGGGAGCTGAATATATATCTCAACTCGCTTATAGGATTAATGAGTAGTAGCCATCAGCTAATCATTCAACAGTATACGAGGATGCTGCCAATAATCTCAAAGAGTGTAAAACATCAGTTGCTTGGACGAAAATATACCGGAGAAATACGTAGTATTCTGTTCATCAGCTACAACTTGAATCCTGCTAACATCTGGCGGGGTTACCCCGCGATCTGCACCGCATCCATCAAAAATTGACAGACCAACACGAAATGCCCGCAGTTCATCGACTAGCTTCGATGGCAATCACGATTTTATTCAAAGTCATGCGGGGATTTCCGAGCAGTCAATGAGTCAAGTCCTGCAACAATCCCCTAAGGGATCAAATATTCACACCCATAGCCGGGGCCAGATCAGTATTAGCAGGATGGGCATGCGACAGCTCTCCTTCTCCATCTGTCAGGCCCACCTCGTGCAGCGCAAGTCTTCTGACACGGACCTCTCTCGGACTCGCCTAAACCTTGTTAGCCATGCACGGTATGACTTCATTTCCGTCGTGGTAATTCCTTTATTCCGCCTGTGAGTTTACCCAGCCTTCTCTCCCCTCTTCACCCCTCTTCCCGTCCATCGGGTTACCGCTGGTGGCTTGCAGTAGACATGAAAGAACGTGGGGTGGCAAGCAGGGCCATGGCTCTCGGATTGCCATGTCCGAGCTCAAGCTTGCTCGGCAAGATGTCCGAGTGCGTACATAGAGAGACCGACTGCGGCAGTTAATGTATTTGCTGCCCCCTTGCTCAAGTCGAACGGGTGGACTGGGATACTCCGTACAGAAGTATAGAATGAGTCATGGGATTGGTATGTACTGTAGTTATATCCCTCAGTTGTACTCTACGGGTGAGGC